GCAATCTTGGCAGAGTCCTCCCATGCACGCATCACCTCATACACATATCCTCTCCAGAAACATGTGCAGAATTTGTGGCTCTTGTAGTGGTCTGGATGCTTGAGCAAATACATGGCTGCCATGGGTCCACCAATTTCAGAGCATGCAGTGAGTGAGTTCACTATCTTGGTAATCAGTGACCGAGCCTTCTCTTTGGTAGACTTCTGACTGCCCAACAGCTCCACATTGCGCTCAAACACCTGCTGGATAGACTGGAACATCACATGGGTTTTAAGTGGGGTTTTTGTTATGTAATCAGCAACATAGGCTATGACAGACTTGATGGCAGTGCCCGACAGCAGAGAAGTGACATCAGTGTTCCCGCGCATGAGATATGTGACTGCAGGTGTGATGGTGTTGATCCAGGCCTCTCCCTTCTTCATGATCAGTGCACCAGTGCTTGGGTCTACTACAGTCTCTGGATGGGTCTCTCTGGGGAACCGGGCTTTGCAATTTCCATTTTTGTCTGTGCAGCCTCAATTATCAAATTCAGGTTTGTCAGACTTATCCCGATCAGCCTTGTCTTTCTTTGAGGATGCCCGACATGTGTGTCTGTTGGATAGATATAATATTTCATCCAGTGTCCGTTTGAATCTGATCCACCAGGATATATGCTTCTGACACTGATCACAGTCTGATTTGGTGGAGTGGTCGCACTTCTTGGGTGGTGGCTCTGGCAATGTCTCTGTGGGTGGGACCCTGGATGGATTTTTGTGATCTTCCTCTGCTATGTTCTGCTTCACACTCTCCATGCTGCCTGTCATGAATTCACCCATGTGCACACTCTCTAGATACTCCACCATGGCCTTCTGGAAGTCTGAGTTTGGATCCATGATTTTATCACGAATTTCCTGGGGTGTAAGGGCATTTTTGATCCAGATAGGTGTCCCTGAAACCCTTGTGTGCGTGCAGGGACCTTGTCACGAAGGTGGTCCCTGAAACCTCACTGCAGGGCAGCTGATATGAGGGACTTGTCATGGAGGTGTCCCTCAAAACCTCACCGCTGTACAGCAGTAACCCTATATAGGGTGATGTGGTAATGACCCTGTCCAGGGGATTACCAAAAGGTGCCCCTGGATGATTGTAAGTATGTTAGATCAATAAAAGTGTGACCAAGATTTGAACGCACCTTGAAGGCTAGTGACCCCCAGATTGCCAATATTGCTGTGAGCAGCAATGGTAGAAGAGGTAGCACTGTGATATAGCAGCCACTGACATGGTGTCAGAAGGCTACTATACCACAGTAGCAAGTATAGAATGTGCTGGGTATGCATAGTGCGAGATGGTGAGAGGAAGAAGTGAGAGAGGGAGGTGTGGGCGCATCAGAGTTCAAAGTTGAACATGCTTATGTAATCTCATCACCTGATCAGGTTGCCATATATGGTCCAATGGCACACATTAGCTGTAAAACTGCATTCATGATGGTCTGAGCCTTTGTTAGGATCATTAAACAATCATATAGACAGCACCATTGGATAGAGATTGAAATTCTGAACCTGGCAGTATATAACACTTGGGGGAAGACAATGATGTCATCAGGTCATGTGCCATAGGCGCTTTTTCCAATTGTGGCACTAATGGGATCTTGTCTTGTGTATAGTGGCAGCTGCATTAGTCACATTCAAATCATTTTTGAGTATATGGACTCTGCTCATGCATAGCTTTCTGTTGATATATATTTCATGACATATAGCCAACTGGGGGCCAAGATATTGAGGCATTTGTGTTGGGAACCAAACAAGACCACAGTCTGTGGCAGGGGAACACTGAGCTGCGTTCCCCTGCCACCAAGTATGGTCTTGTTTGTTCTCAGCCACAGCTGCAACTCATTTTGCCCCCTGTTGGCTCATTCCTCACCACAACATAGGTCATTTATATACTATTGGAAAGGGTGTTTCAATGTGCATCTGACGGTGGTACAATCATGGTTTTATATTCAATACACAAGCTTTAATGCACCAAACACCAATTGTGGCTGAAGGTCATTGCCAGATTGTATGCACAATACCTGGTCTTTATGCTCACTAATCCATCTATCAAGCTTCATTATTATATTGCAGGACACTTTCATTATATAAGGCAGAAGATAGTGGTAGCAGTGTATCAGATAAACTGCTTAATCTGGACCTGAACATCCTTTTACTCCAATTTATGCCTTCAATTGGCATTCTATTGACCTACAAACAACACCATTGTGTAGAGCTCAATTTTCCGAACCTGACAGTATATAATACTTGACATTATGCCTGGGAAAACACTGACCTAGACCCACATTGATCCCCATTAGTGACAGACTGTGACCCAGAGTCACTTATGGTGGGTTGGTTGGCTTGTAGCACTCCCAGATGTGCTCAGTATCCTATACAAACACCCCCATTGCATTCTCCTCATCAACAGCTTTCTGGTGATATAATAGTGGTATGTTACACCATATACTTGTCTATTAATGAGCACATTATGTTGAGCTGTGGCTGAAAACAAACAAAGCCAAAGCTAGTGGCACGACGACGCGGAATCGCGTCGGCGTGCCATTGGCTTTGGTCTTGTTTGGCTCCAAACAGAGAAGGG